TTTTTTGGAACTGCACTGATCCGAATTTGACTGCAAACGTCCGAATGTGTTTGCAGGGAATTCAACTGCGCAGCGTTAGATTTAATCGTGTGTATCTAAAGTGTTTTATCTGTACTCGGGTTTCTTTATTCATAGAAACCTGTATTTGCATAAACATCCGGACTCCACTGATCACGTGTCGTTATCACAGCTGGCGTGTAAAAGCCTTTGTGATAAGACAAAAGAATACTTTGAACGAAGTCACACAAATAACGAAAGCGTTATCGAAACTTGGACTCTTGCGCCCGGAATTTCAACAATGTGATCTGGGTCGTCGTTATAGTTCCGGTGACGCTTATGTACGTACGTAACTAAACTGCGGATCGTAATAACCGACGCCACAATATTTTGACTCGTAATGAGCGGAGTTCATGCCATTTGCAAAGTAGATTAGGTAACTGCAGATTCTGACTTCTACGCTGATTGCACGTGTGATTCACGGCTTTTTTTTTTTTTTTGTCTCGCGTCTTTCTTCGACAAAAAGAGTCGAGGAATAATATATAATAATAACACAAGCTAAAAATATTGCTCGATCGAACGTCAATGAAAGAGCAAACGTTTGAGTCTACACGTGCGCGCAATTACACACAACGTTTGTTACGATACAGTTTGAGAGTATAATGCACTGCACTTTGTACGCGCGAGCTGAATTATTACACGGCCAAACAATTAAATATTAATGCGCGTTGTAAATCGTAATTTTCGCGTGCGCTGTGAAATTCATGGGGATTAGGAATTCTCGGGAGTTAATTAGGATTTTATGCGCGGACGATGGCGACGAGCGTGTTACGAAATAAGGAAAGTTTTCCTGGCCGGGGCTGGTGATTCTCTCTCCCTGTTTACGAGTCGCTCGTCTTTTGGCGGGTTTCCAATCGTTCCCACTGTGTCGCGGGGGAATATCCCGAGGTACGAGTGTTTTCCTCGTCGGCCGCGTTAATAAGCGGACGCTGCTCAAACATTACCGGAAATTAAGCGTGCGCGCAGGCGCCTCCCGTTCGGGTTCAAAGGTTACGTAAACCTTCGATCGCGTGCGTGCGTTTGAAAACGCGCGCACACCGTCATTGATGCTATATTTGGAACCGATGACGATACTTCTCTTCGATTTTTACGTTTATGTTTATTCTTAACGCTGCCGGAGCTCTCGAGATAACCAATTTACAATTTTTTTTTTGTTTTGTTTTCTCTTTATCACTTTTGTGTAAGTCCGTGAATATAAAACAATGTACATATATCACCGAGACACTACGACAAATTGACGTACGGGCAATTATATTCGATGAAATATCCTATTTTGTGAAACGAAATTATTACTTATTACATATGTATAATACATATGTGTGTCATACAGTTTATGTGTTAAAAATCTTACCAAGTAGTGTACAACGTATCTTATGTCTTTGTTTCGCTTCGTACAGATATAACGGCCTGAACTAACCGTGGCATTTATCATTCAATCTTATCGGAATGAATTTCTTTCCACGCTTCTTCTAATTTCTCCCATAAGTCTTTTTTCAATTTTGTACACGTTCTCCGAAGTTTTCTGTCCAATTCATCCCATAATTCTTCGATTGGATTTTTTAAATATACATATCATTTTTTGATATTTTTTGAAATATTTATTCAGACTATATACTTGAAATATTTCAGTTTCGTTCCCAAGTATTATTATAAAATGAGTACATATAACAAGATTGTACAATAAAATTAATCCAGAAGAGTATATCTGTGTTCTAGTAACTATTCAGCTCGAAATAAGCAAGTGTCCGGTGACTTATGGATGGCAGTGTATCTCTGCAAATTTAAATGATTTCTCGTAAAATATAGAAACAAAATTCTCTGTTTAAAACTGGCGGAGCGATTTTTCACGCGGTCGACACACGAACGCTCTAGAATCTGAGAATGGAGCCGGGAATTTGCAAGACTGGCTGGCAAGTCGGTCCATAAATCAGCCGCTTCGAGTGCTTCATCGAGTGCCGTCGTTCCGCGACAGTGTTCGCTTCTTAGAAACTACGAGTTCACTCGGCAACGTTTGATGCAATTTGTACGCGAGATTGACTCGCGAGCGAAATATCGCGAAAGGATAATTCGTCGAATGTTCTGGCTCGGAACATTCTGATCGAATTTGCGAAACAAATATGTAAATGATATTTGTGTATTCAGAGACTGAACGTTAATCTATTTCAAATCACGAGTATCGAATATTAATGCCGATGCGAGTGATAAACGCCGCGTAATCAAGGGCTTTCACGCCACATCTCGCCCGCGCGCGTTCCGTTAAGGTATCAATCGCAACGTTACCGCGAGATAATATAATACCCGATGTAATTTCATGAGCGCGTTTAGATCTGCCGTATAATTCGCTGTCGAAGCGTTTCGAACGCGCTGCTAATCGGTTCGTACGCACATACGCGTACAAGTTTTCATCGTGGAAGGGAACTCTTATGAAAATTTCATTGTCAAAGAACGCTGTCGTTAATTTTCGTAAGAAAAATTCGGCAAGGCGACCGCTAGTCGATCCAATCCTTTTGTGGAAAATTTGAACTAACTCGGAGCTTACAATCAGGTATTTATATTTTTCGCGAATATACCACTCGAGGAAGTATAGATAGAGAGACGTTCAAAATTCACGCATCTCTCGCTGACTGACTGTTCGGTCACGTGCCACACTCGAACCCGCAGTCTCTCAATGGATACTGAACTTTCTGATCGCGGCAGCCGACAATCAAACGCGAACTGAAACACGAAGAAGAAGAGTAGAATCGCGAATAATTCGTCGGTGGATTATGAAGCTTGGGCTTCGTTTTCAAGTCACGGGGAACTCTCGTCGGAATGTTATTCGTGTCACTAGGTACGCGGAGAATCTGTTCGCCCGAGGGGATGCTCTTTTCCTCCCCTTTCGAACCTCTCTCCCTTTTTCTTTCGGCCTCGGAGCAATTTCCGCGGTCGAAAAATCGAGGTTAACGGAAAAAGCGAAGTGGAGAGGAGGAGTGAAAGAGCGCGTGAAAGAGAAAGAGAGAAAGAGAGAGAGAGAGGGAGAGGGAGAGAAGGGGTGGATGGCTTCTATCCAGATGGTATCTCGTCTCTGGCTGGGCGTAGAATCGGTATCGATCGGTCGCCGCGTTTCATGGAAATAAATCGCCGGCGTCGGTTGGCGACCCTGTCTCACCTATGCAAATCGGGCCGCCGGTTAATTGACAAAATATTCAAATCGTCAGAAACTCCGAAGGTTCATTCAAATGATAATCACTATGCGTCACTTTCAAGATAACCTTCTTCTTCTTCTTCTTCTTCTTCTTCTTTTTCTTCTTCTTCGTCTTTCTGTTTCTCCATTTTTCTTCTTCTTCTTCTTCTTCTTCTTTCTCTTCTTGTCTAGGTTGGTTTTAGATTTGTCCGAGATATGCATGATCTTTGTTCACCGATCGTTTCGTCGAGGTACGCATTTGAACGTTGAAGGGTTATCGATTGACCCGAAACGTCGATCTGCATATTCGTAATAGCGGGAAACAAGGACGCGTTTCCTTTTCCAGTGACCTTCATCTTGACCCCGGGCTGGCAGATTTACGTCGACACGCGGCCTCCTGTTAAATATAAATCGGCCGAAATTATTATCGTTCGAAGGGAACCAACAGGAAGCTTGATCAGTAAGAGTCTGACCTTTGTACGACTGCTTGGTCTTTGTCGACTGAGCGGAGGAATTTCGGTCTTTGTGTTATATTTTAAGCCATCGCCGGTCCTTAAAAAGTAATAAGTGATAGTACATGCTTTGCAGTTCGCGCCTTTGCGCTCGAATGTCGTACAATTCGAGCCATATAAATTTCTAAACAGTTGCAGAGCACGGAATTTCTTGTGAAGAATAGAAGGAGAAGTCGAGTTTTCGAGTTGTGACGTTTCTGTTACGTTGAGTTTTATTCAACTGCTAATTCTGCTTCATGCAACGAGAAAAAGAAACATTTCCTCCCTTAATTCGCGGAATTAACGTAACGCAGTGACGGATCACAAACTTATGAGTATTAAATTACCAGTGTTTGGAACAATTGGCGACATTAAAATAATGTAATTTCGCCACAAAAAGTCAACCATTTTCAAGCTCTTTCTCTTTGAAATGTTTTTGCAACATGTAATAAATAGAAAAGTAGAGGTGTTGTTCTTTCTCCTGAGCCTCCTGATCACAATTTATCTTCTAACATTTTCTATTTTCATCAAGTTGGTAGACCTCGTGTTTTAATGTAAATTAATTTTACGGAATTTCGTACAGCAACATTTAGAAGAACGTTTCATCGTAAAGAGAAGAAAACTTGGATCTTCAAAGACACGGCGGATGGGTTCAGTCATGAAAAAGATTTCTTCGCCTCGAGGGACGTATGAATTAAAAAAAGGCATGGTATGTCAAAAATGAATTTCTTTTATTTTTATGAAAAATGAATGCAGAATAATATCGTGAAGATAAACGCTTCGGATTCATTCTCGTTGCGAAATTACAACAATTTAAATATCGCCAATTTTTTGAAACTGTTTGGAAAATGTTCACTTGAATGTAAATTTAATATACAGACACGTAAGCACGGTAACAACAAACCTTGTTGTTACCGTACATTATCTGCACGTGTGATTCGTTATTTCGTGTTCAACGTTCTGTTCTTCGCTTCTGCCGCGCGGGTGTGCACCACTTGAAGCACGATTTGATAATGGAACAGCACTCGGCTACGACTGACTTTCGAGCGTTAGAGAACTGTTTCCCGTTGTTGGAACATCGCGGCGTGTGGTCCAGATATTAACGCGCGCGTCCACGTCCAGCCTCTCGTAACACACGAGAACACACTTCTCTCGATTAATTACTGGTTTCGTTGTTTGCAAGGAATCGCGAAGTCGATCGCCAATGAAACTGAGAGAATAAAAGATAAAAAAAAAAAAAAAGAGTAATTTCGTTGCTCGACGCGAAACGAACGAGAAATTTCGTTGACGTTCGTTAACGTCGGAGAAACGTCGCTCCGGCTTTCACTTCGAGCGCAATGTGCGTACCATATCGCTGTTCGACGTTGCGAAACTTATCCACTAGGCTTCGAACCTTTGTCAATTCTGTTCAACGCAAGAGAAACTTATCAGTTTCCAAACCACGCGAGACAAATACCACGTTGTCTTAATCTTTGCTTTGTGATTAACAACACGTGACAATTGTTCAAACTTGTTCGTTCGCAGAGAAGATCTTTGCGAAGAACGCAAGTAATCGTAAATTTTACACCTGCTCTCGACAATTTTTATCCCACGTATCATCTACCAACAATTTATTTACATTGAAGCATCACATCGTACAAAATGACATTGGATAGCTTTGGAAATAATCATTCGAATGGTATTTAACAATGAAATTTTGTTTTTCCAAGATGTGGTATCGTTTAACCCTTTGCACTCCAAAACTATTTTTCAATTCTTTTTTTTTTTTTTTTTTTTGCAATTTGAAAATATCGAGTGTGACACAACGTAAGAGTTTCTGTGATAAAAACTAATGTCGAGTCACACTCAACAAAGGAGTGAATTTAAAGCAATTATCAACGTGCATTGTTTAAGTTTGCCAGAGTAAGCATAATATATACAAGAGTTAATGATACATAGTTTCAATACATCTTTGGGCAACATAAAAAATAATATCCTCCTCTATTTTTTTACTACTTTCGTAAGAAGCAATAAGAAGTCTAGTTTATGTGAATTATTTCAATGAGTGTCAATTGATTCAGGGCTGTTCTGAAATTCTTTTGTTCGTCTTACGTCGTTATACATGTGGCTTTCACTCTAGGCGTCTGTTCAGACGCTACTATATATTACACTATATTGTACATCGAATCATACAACGCTAAATGTATACGTTTGTTATGATTATCAGTGTTTAGATACAGAATCCTTCCGAAGGGACAATCGAGTGCAAAGGGTTAAAAAAGCTCGTAGCAACTTTTCAGTTTTGCACAAATTTTTGCACAATTTTTTTACTACTTTCGTAAGAAGCAATAAGAAGTTTAGTTTATGTGAATTATTCCAATGAGTGTCAATTGATTCAGGGCTGTCTTCAAAAATTTCTTCTTCTGAAATTCTTTTGTTCGTATTACGTCGTTATACATGTGGCTTTCACTCTAGGCGTCTGTTCAGATATTACACTATATTGTACATCGAATCATACAACGCTAAATGTATACGTTGGTTATGATTATCAGTGTTTAGATACAGAATCCTTCCGAAGGGACAATCGAGTGCAAAGGGTTAAAAAAGCTCGTAGCAACTTTTCAGTTTTGCGCAAATTCTTAATCCTTCCACTTATTAGAATATTCAGTTGCAGAAATCGTAACGTTTGCAAAAAAAAACTGAGGCATCTCGCGGATTCTCGAGCTGGTTCCCCGCGAGAAGGGACCCGCGAGGTGTGCTGCCCCCTCCCTCGCGAGGCTCGTTCGCGGTTTCAGGCACACACAACGCGACACACAACGTTAGAAGGCGTGCATTCCACAACGGTGCCGCATACCGCGCTGAAATCGATACCCGCGTCTCTCTCCGTTCGTAACCTACATCGTGGTGTGTCGAGGCACGTACAGTCACCGGCAAAATGCATTGTCTCCCGTCCATTCTTCCGAATCGGCCGCTATCAGCGGCGCGGACCATACCAGCGGATTCGATTTGTCCTCTCGCCGCTTCCAATTTCGAGGCCGTTGCGTTGCGCGGTCGCGATATGCCATTTTCCAACTGCATTCCCGGCTCGCGGTTCTTACTCTTATTCCCCTTTTTTCCTCCCTCCCTTTTATTTATTTATTCATTTTTTTTTCTTTGCGGTATAGCAACCGGGTCTCTCTCTCTCTCTCTCTCTCTGTTTTTCGATTACTGTTTCGTTGTTTAGTACAGATGGAACCCGGCGTTGTCGGGTCCTTTCCATGGTTTTTTCAGCATCTGTCTTGGTATTGACACGACGTGGACAAGAATTTCGGATTTCAGTCGGGAAGCTTCGTGCTGTTTTGAGAGAGAATCGGTAATCGGGGGTGATTGGTACTCTACATGGATCGCAATATCGGATATTTCTTCAAAGAACTTTCGAAGCGTCGAACTCGAGTCTTTTTTTTTTTCCTTTTTTTACGAACCTATACGTTCCCTTTTGGTTATTTCGAGAGAAGTTAATTTGTGGAATTATTGGTGTACCGTGCAGCTTAAGACAAGACTACAATTATTATAGTTGAAATTGGATAGGTCGCGTCTGACTTCTTGATAGCGGTCGATTCAAGGAACTTTCGATGCTTCGAACTCGATTTTTTTTTCCTTTCTCGCGAAACTACACGTTCCCTTTTCTGGTTGTTTCAATAGAAAATTGATTAATTTGTAGAATTATTGGAGTACGATTCCCAAAATTCGATGGAACTTAACTGTCTTAAGACGAGACTACGATTATTCCAGTTAAACTTAACTTCTTGCTCCATTCCTCACGGTTCGTAATTTCTCAATGTCTCGCAGCAACAGCAGATCATTTACTTTATCATCATTTACTTATGGCTCCTTCGAAAACTAGATCGTATACGAGTACCTTTTACAAGTTTAAATGCATCATCGGTGAATTCGACGTTTGCTTTGACAGTCCGTCGTTCCACGGCAAACGAATGAATAAAACGCGGGCAAATCGCGTTTGTGCCCGGTTATTCCCGGTGCTTCGGAAGCGACGTATAATAAACGCCACGTTTAACGGGGCACGTTTATCCACTAAATATCAAAAGATTTTTAAGCGGCCGGCGCGAAACGATGCGTTTCATACGCAACGATCTCTAATAATTTTTTTAAACTGCGAGCGAGATCAGCTTGTCAACGATGGTGAAAACAACGTTTCCACTTGATACCGTAGTTGAAACCGAGCTCCGATTCTCCGTCCTTTTTCACTTTTTTTTTTCTTTTTTTCTCTTTCCTCCCCGCGCATTATCGAACGTACAATGACCCAATGTTATATTTTAAACAATGAATCGTTTAAACTGATTTTATTTGCGCGCGCGGGGGCCAACGAAACTTAAATCTCGTATCGATTACGCGAGTTTTTGCGCGCGCGCGCGTACACACACACACACACACACACACACACACACACACACACACCAGCTCGCTGCTATTCATTACCCGTTTTACGCGGATACAATATAAATCACGCATGGACCGCTTTAATTTTTACGCGCCGCGCAATGACACCAGTTTTTCCGCTTCCCCCTTACGCCCTCCCACACCGTCGCCACGGGGCTTTCCCTGTATATTTGCATGTAAAACACCGCGGTGCGTGACAGTGTCACGCATAAATATTAAGGGTGCGCGCGCGCTTGAAAATCTTGCAGCTGCTGGACAATTTTTCCAAAATCGACGGTTTTTTTCTCCTAGGTTGCCCGTAAAGATTTCTTCCTTTCTTTTCGTTATTATTGTTTAACGTTCTTGGCAGTTCGAGATTTAACCCCTTTGCGCTAGTAACTGGTTTACGGACCATAACGAGTGACCAAACCTTATGTACAATAATTCGTCTTCTCTTTGAATTTATCGGTATATCACTGGATAGAAATGACTAAGAAGTAATAAATTTATTATTTGTTTTGCCTGGGTTACATTTTAATATACTTGAAACTTAGAAAATGTAATTTTCGGGCCAAATATTCTCGACGTGCGTCATTCCAGCGCAAGAAGTTAACTACTTGCGCTGGCAACTGATTGCGGACCATAACGAGTGACCAAACCGTATACAATAATTCGTCTTTTCTTTGAATTAATCGGTAGTAATAAATTTATTATTTGTTTTGCCTGGGTTACATTTTAATATACTTGAAATTGAGAAAATGTAATTTTCGGGCCAGATGTTCTCGACGTGCGTGGCACGTCATTCCAGCGCAAGGGGTTAACTACTTGCTCTGGCAACTGATTGCGGACCATAACGAGTGACCAAACCGTATACAATAATTCGTCTTTTCTTTGAATTAATCGGTAGTAATAAATTTATTATTTGTTTTGCCTGGGTTACATTTTAATATACTTGAAATTGAGAAAATGTAATTTTCGGGCCAGATGTTCTCGACGTGCGTGGCACGTCATTCCAGCGCAAGGGGTTAACTACTTGCTCTGGCAACTGATTGCGGACCATAACGAGTGACCAAACCGTATACAATAATTCGTCTTTTCTTTGAATTAATCGGTAGTAATAAATTTATTATTTGTTTTGCCTGGGTTACATTTTAATATACTTGAAACTTAGAAAATGTTGTAATTTTCGGGCCAAATATTCTCGACGTGCGTCATTCCAGCGCAAGAGGTTAACTACTTGCGCTGGCAACTGATTGCGGACCATAACGAGTGACCAAACCGTATACAATAATTCGTCTTCTCTTTATATCACTGAATAGAAATTACTAA